TAAATTGAGCATATCTTTAGAATTTTCGATACACAGTTCGACGCGCTGGAGATAAAAAGATTGTTTTTCTCCCGTAGAGTGTTGCTATTACTCGCTTTTAAATCGGTGAATTTTTTACTCAAAAATTCTTTAAAGTTTTACAAAATATGAAATTGATAATAAAACAAATTCCGAATTTCAAATTTGGGATTTCAGATGCCCATATTCGCAGTAGGATTACGTCATTCAAAATTGGATGGCTCTAGATACCGTTGTTTTATCACAATGCGAGAAATATACATACATTTATGCAGATTTTTCGTTATTTAATTTTTTTCAAATATAATGCAGGACTCTAACATTTTGTGGCGACAGTTTGAAAAGTGAACCGACTTTTATAGGAGTCCGACGCAAAATGCCAAAACGAAAGTAATAGTCCTTCGGAATTCAAATCCCTTTGGACTAAAAAACATTCTTCCAAAATTCTGCATAAAGGTGAGTTGTAATAAAATCTTTCAGAACAAATATTCGTTCTAACACGAAGTTCTAAAATGACATTCGTTCTTGTAAAACGACTTCTGCTTTGGTTTTAATTGCGCATTTGCAGCTTTTAATTCTTTCATTTATGTAAATCCAATAGACTCCATTTTTCTTATTTCTATTCCGAATTCGATACTGATAACCTTTATAAAGGGCTAAAGATTTTTTTTTTTTTTTTCCTTTTAGTTTCAATAATGTCTAAAACATCCATATTGATTAACATAAGATGTGAAAATAACAGCTAATATTGTAGCAGAATTATAATTAGAATGAAATTAAAAATTTCGAGAGGAACCTAAACTTAACGAAGACTAGCTTATTCACAAAGAAACTGCCCGTTCTTATTCTTAATAACTTATCGTGACATCCCCTGAGGAGCTGTGGGAAGGGAACTGTACCGTCACCACCGGAAAAACAAGGCCTCGTCACTGCGATCGTGACGTCACTAGTAGCGGGTAAAGGAATAAACGGGCTCGCAGCTTCTAGGCAGCGCGAATTTTCTTCAAAAATTAGAAATTTCATTTGTTATTCCCCAAAATAAAATTCTTCAAAAAATTTAAGTTCAGGTGAATTTTCGCTGTATGCATGAATATTTCAAAGGGCATTTAAAAGACTGACACATAATGGTTTCCCATACATTTTCCCACCATGTTAGCCAACAAATTCATTTTGTTTTTACTGTAAGAACGACAATATGTACATTATTTTTCCCTTGAATGACAAGAACATCTGCTTTCAACTTTGTTTATATTAGCGCGCCGTAACGAAGTTTGCTTGCTGTATGTTTTTTTAAAATCTATGGTTAAATCTAAATCAAAATATGCATATAGATGAAACAAATTCATGTCCTTAGACATAATTATAACAAGAAAAATCTGCAAGCAATAGATCATCTAATGTAAGTTTTACATTATGGTGGTGATGATATGGAAAACTCAGATATTTAATTAGCTATATTTTTTCTGACTAAAATTTAATCATTTTCTTACATGAAATATTATACAGAATAGCAAAAATATATTTTATTGATTTAATTACAACATTTTTCTTAAATATTAAAACATATTCAAAATGATGTAGTAATGAAAATTAGAAGCTGTATAAAATTTAATAAATATAAGTTTTGATGTATATTATTTACACTTAATATTTTATTGACACTGCTATATATAGAATAAACTAAAGTAACAAGTTTTTAGGCAGTAACGTGAAAAATAATGTTTGTGTACGGCATTTATTACTTTTGAAATCAATTAAACAAAAAACTTAATTCAGCAAAAACTAATAAATGAAGTAGTGGTATATTATAATGCATGAGGATGCTTAAATTATTTTCTACCATATAAGTTTAAGCTACATGAGATAAACAATATTTGAAATAATAATAGAAGGTGATGTATCTTGTGTTGTTTATTTACATAACATACCATATAAAATTAATTATATTGAATTCAGAAAGAACTAATAATTAGAATCTAATAGTGTCAAAGCATTTATAAGTTATTGTCTAGCATATGAAATGTAAGTTAAATTAGGTTAGCAGTATATGAAATGTAATGGCAAGTGACATTTATGCACTTTCATTTGTCTACAGAATTTGACACAGCATATAAAATTAATTCTGTTGAAACCAATTGAGCAAAAACAAGAGAAACCTAGAAAAAGCTAGTGATGGTGTAATGATATACTACAATATAAAAGCATTTATAAGTCAGTTTTCAAGTTATGCAACTAGGAGAAAATTATGTTCAATTTCCTTGCGTTTATGATCTTTGAAAATTTTGGTATTTAAAATGGGTATTTAAAATGTCCCTTGCATTTTAATTATTATCAAAACTGTTTCCACATTAAATTTATAAGTTTTAACACTGGTCATAAAAGATTTGTTAACAAATCTATTAAGAATTTTGTTGTTTTTAGCATTGATAAACATTTACAGGAATTATTAGGCTTTTCATAAAATAATTTAAAAGGGCGAGTAAAATTTTGTGCATTATTCATGTGTACAGAACATAGCATATAAAACTGATTCTACTGAAAGTAGTAAAAAAAAAAATTGATTATTTTGAAACCAGCTGAACAGAAATTGAATGAGAAAAAGAAAAAGCTAATAAATGTATTAATTATTAAAATAAGTTAAAAAAAACAATACACAAAATTTTAATAATACTTTATTTAATGCACTGCAGCTTCTCAGAGCAATGAATAATAAATGCACTTTATGTACATGTACTTTATGTACAGAATGAATTCATAACTGATATTTGCAATAATATATACTCATTTAAAAAAAGCCATTAACAAAGAAAATGGTTTTTTATGGAAAATTTAATTAGCATTAAGACTCACAGTTTGCAGTTTTCGCTTTTTTGTTACAGGCATGTGATTATTTTTTTTAGTACAATAATTTTTTAAAAAAACAATTTGTAGATGTTCTTAAAATTATATTTAATAAAGTGTCATTGGAATGGCCATTATCACAAGTTTCATCGACTAAGAAAAAATCACATTCATCAATAATAGTAGACGATAATTCAATAACAATATTTCTTTGATTATTTTGCTTCAAAAACTTTTTTTCATTTTCTTCGCTTAATAATTTTTGTATTACGATATAATTATAAGTTACTGCAGTAACAACATCTGTTGAGGGGAAGAGTAATTCATTTCTGTCTAAATTTCGTATAAAATTATAATTTGCACTTAATTTTAGATTTTTGTCAAGGGCAATTAATTTAAAGCAGGAATTACATCTGAGTGTTTTTGCAACCATATATGAGCAATAACCGGATATATAAGTTAAGACTGGTAACACATTTTGAATATTTTGAAAATCATTTTCAGAAATATTAATATTGAACTCTGAGCATAAGTCTAAAACATTTGAGTTATCATCTGTAACACAGTCTTCTCCAATACAGTCGATTAAAATGTTCTCACGTGCTACTGATCTCAGAGATAAAGGTTGAAATTTTTGCATTCTTAATTTTGATTCACTTTCAAAAATTTGTCTTACTGATATTAGGTACTGAGATCCAGCAAGCATGCGATATTTACTAAATCGCTCTTCTAATGCATCTGTCTGTATCTTTCCTGCAAGAAAATATTTAAATCCTAACTCATGAAAACAATACTTAGATAATTCTAATAACCCATGTGTGTTGTGTGAGAAACAGCTAAATGCGTTTCTTTTGTAAAGGTCCCAGTTGTGGGAGCATTAGCTTTCCAAACATCTAACCATAACAGAAATCTTTTTTAAAACTTTTCATTCAAAGAATTATTAGGCAATATTGGCATTTGCAATGGATCATTTAGCCTCTGACCTTTCAAAGGTGTTTTAACATTGACAATATTCCACCAGTTATAAATTAGTTTTATGAAACTTTCAGTACTAGCATAATTTAAAATATTATTCTCCTTGCCAATGGTAGAAAGAGCAACAATAACATAATTGTTAAAAATACTGTTAACAAGTTTGACATTTTGTCTCTCCAAGTTTGATGGGTTGAGGGATTTTAAGGATAATCCATATGCAATGGGCAGTATATGTACAACTTCCTTAAATGATGATAATAAACTTTGTATCATGAATACATATGCTGTATTTGCAACACTATTACTGTTATATGCCATACCAACAACATTTCCTCCCTTATAGTCTATGTATGGTTTTATGTGTATTTCATCCTACATTAATGTAATTATAAAGTCTTCTGAATTCAAGCCATCTGCTTTTTGTTTTATGAAAGATAAGAAGTTTTCATCAGACTGCTCTTTAATGGGATTAGTATTAAATCCAGAAATATTCTGTAAATTGTTCTTGGATGTGGCATAATGATATTGCATGAACTTCTAAAAAATTTATATGCATGGGGAGAAATGGAATATAAAAACAACGAAGGAAAACATACATATGTGATGAATAACGTATGCGTTTCTTTTTACAAATAAGATTGGACAGTTGTTCTGTAATGAATTCAACAGTTTGTTGTTTATCACTATCATCAGTCTTAACAGTTTTCAATAGAGTAATAGCTGTTTTTATAACATTGGAAAATAAATTTTCATTTTGTGGTTTAGAAATATTCAATACAAAGTCTAAAACTTCAAACAAGCTATTTATATTATTTATTACTTTAGGAAACACTTCGTTATCTATTATTTTTAATTCTGATTTACCGATATAAAAACATGACACATTAAATTTTCTGCCACTACTACTGAAGCTTCAATAATCGGTACAGACTCAGTATCAATAATAAGAAAAACAAACTTTACCGTCTTTGAAAATAACTGTCCAAGCATCAGGAACATTCTCAGACTTTATGCACGATAAAAATTCAGAAAAACGAGTAAAAACATTTTTTTTCTGTCGTAAATTTCTTTATTGGTTATGCTTGCAGCAAGAGCACTCTGTATATTGTTTCTATCAATTCGAACTCTTCTATCATCGGCACTTTCTCTTGATGTTGAAGATTTACCTGATAAATATTTTGGACAGCCTGATAAATATTTTCACAGCTGGACACAGGCAGCTGTGAAGGTACAGCATCCTTTCGAAGCCTTGGACGAATTAAATTAATTTTTATTGAAGTTCCTTTTTTCTCATCAAAATGTTCGACTGTTCTTTCAATATCTGATTCGACAAAATGTTTCTCACAAACCTAAAAAGAATGAAAAATTCAGTATTGAGTATCACTGTAGATTCATAAGAAAAATCTTACAAATAATTTAAATGTAAAATGAAAATACAGATTTCCATTCAGAAATAAATTTTGGAACCTGAAAAATACTAGCTAAAATTCATCTACCTAGTACTTCAAGACATACTCTACACATTATGTACTGGAATGATGTGTATGTATACTGAAATTCAGCTGATATTCTAGAAAGAAAGTTTTTACTTACCTAATATTAACTTAAATATTGTACTTTAAATAATATCTCACTAAATTTCATTACAGATTTAAATGCTTTAGAATTAATGACGAACTGTATTATTTGTTGATTTATGTATCAGGATAATTAATTTCAGATTTTATAGAATTCAAATTAAGTTTATAATAACAATATCATATATAGAAGTTTAATTAGTATAAAAAAAGCAACAATAAGGCCTAATTTTTGATCAAGAAATAAATCATAAGTTTAAAAAATTGATTGTACGTACCTTAGAATGATTTGATGGGATGAAATTCTGCCGGTGAATTGCACGGAGCCATTTGCTGCGCAAAGAATCCGATTTGGGTATAGAAAACATCTGTACTTTTTCAGTGTTTGGATAGTTTCCTCTGCAGTTAGGAACACAACAAGTATAAACCATCCTTCAACAGATTATTAACAAATGAAATATTATTAAATGTTTTATGAAATATAGAAATTTCCCGCTAAAACTACAAGCATGCTTGCACGTTGACGTTACTACCGAAACAAGCGGTGACGGTTTGTTATGCCTACTAGTCCCCGGCTGACTGACGTCACTCGCAGCAGAAGGGAGGCCTTGTTTTTCCGGTGGTGACGACTGTACTCTCCGATTTCGCGGGAACAGGATGAATTTTGAAAAACGCGGAAAGAGGAATCGCGGAAAATGAACTAACTCATTTTAACTAGAATAATTTTTTACATCGATTTATTGTCTAATAGAGCAGGTATTTTGTCTTCTTGCTGCTTTGTATTCTTTACTTTTCTACGCGATCTGAGAATATCGTCGTTGGTTTTTTGAAGAACCGGAGATATATTATGTATTTAAATATTTGTGAAAAAAATACTAAAACAAACCTACATTTTCAAAATGGAAAAATATCTAGGCTTGACTAAGAGAAAAGTGATGATTCACCGGGTGATGGATCCAAGACAATCTACTAGCATTAAGACTACTAAAAGAGAAAGAAAAATTGTTTATAGAAAATAATGAAAATTATTTATCTTTTGGGTTTACTTGGAATGGATATGAAATGGACCCTCAACCTCAATGCATTGTTTGCGGTGAACTATTATCCGAAAAAAAAAAAAAAAGTATGAAATCATCGTTTCTTAAAAGGCATCTTGAATCTAAGCATGCCAGTTTAAAAGGTAAACCTGAAGAATAATTTAAGAGGAAATTATGGGAGTTCAAAAATAGTAAACAAGTAATGAAAGATTTTGTTACTTCAAGTGAAAAAGCTTTGGGAGCTAGTTACCTAGTAAGTCTAAGACTGCACAGAACTCACGCTATTGGAGAAAACCTTATATTGCTAGCAACTAAAGATATCATTTTAACATTATTCAAAGAAAAAGCGGGTAATGAACTTAACAATATTCCGTTATCAAATGATACAGAAAGTCGACAAATTTATGATATGGCAAATTCCATAAAAGTGACACGTATTAAAAATAATAAAACACAGTGAGTACTTTGCATTGCTGTAGGATGAAAGCACTGATACAACGAACTTGATTCAATTATTACTTTACATACGTTTCGTAGAAGATAAACGAATTGCCGAAAAGTATTTATTTTGTGAATCTCTTCATGATTGAGCAACTGCAAATGGAATTTTCAAAGTAATTGACAATTTTTGCCTTTTCGTATATTTGTGTGAACAAGGATATTGTTCACAAAAAGCACATTTCTAATTTCTCATTTCATTTTTTTTCCAAAATTCACATCTCTAAAATTTACTTTCATCAAAAAATTCTTTACATTTCTTTTTTCTTATTCACACCTTGTGTGAACAAGGACTATTTGTGTAAGTAAGGGTTTTCATCCATGTTTTATTTGAAAAATAATAGGATCCTAAATTACAGTTAAAACTAAGTGAAATAAGACCAGACATAAATTGATCTCTCTTAAACAGGACTAAATTTGCCCTAAATTTTAGAATTAAAGTGTTATAACTTAAATTTTGATAATTAAAATGATAGTCAGTTAAAAACGTATTAGTCAAAATATTGAGAACCGCTGGTCTATTACTTTCAAACAGGCATTTCAAGACTATTGCCATCTCCCATTCGCGATCGTAATTAGTGTCGTCATCATAGCAAAGCATTTATTTTCTCCACATCATTTGAGACTGTAGTTAAAGTCCGCTTTCATTCATGCTTTTAACGGAGCGAAGCAAGCTAATGCAGAGAAGACAATAAATTAAGCTAGTCGATTTTTTTTTTTCCGCAGCTGTTGTTCAAAACAAATTGGTTGAGAAACAAATCGGACGGCGAAAAATAAGCTTGTAGTTCCAGTTATAAAGTAACAGACTGCAGTGAAAGTAATTTTATTTTTTATGTAATTTTTTAATTAAAATTTTTATTATTATTTTGTTGAAGAATGTAAACGCACACATCGAACGTATTTGATTGTTTCATTCCAATTTTTTTACCATTTTCGTCATAAAGAATGTGATGCAAAACGTAATATATGTGAATACCCAACCTTGATAAGACGGCCTGTGTAGACAACTGCTTGGCTTTATTCTATTTTCGCTAGCTACGTAGAAATGTTGCAGAAATACAAAAAGCTTTCAGCTTTTACAATTGCGGTTCCTAATATCACACTGTATAATAATTCATGACTGGATTTTAATTCTGTATTATAAATCATGACTGGATTTTTTTATTCACACTGTATTATAATTCATGACTGGCTCACACTGTATTATAATTCATGACTGGATTTCATTTTTTCATTGACTTCCTTCAAAACTGGATTTTTGGTTGCATTTTTCAAATTTACTGCTTCGAAAGAGTTTTTGGAATTTTATTAACATTATTATCTACCTTTCCATCCATGGCCTTTCCATCGAAACTTTTAAACAGGTATTTATGTTAATAAAAATAGTTAAATTTACAGATAACAACATGAAATTTCCGTAAGTCGAGAATACATTTCGTATTAATCGAAGAAGGATGAAGGTGGCAATAAACATTTAATTAAAGTGCCAATACCTTTTACAAAGCCCGCGATTATAATTTAACCATCAACATTTTTTTCGTTTCTTGTAGCCCCCCGAATGTCATTCGATCTTCGGACAAATGACATCCACTGGACGACAACCTCATGAAAGTAAAAAGATCATCTTCGATTATTATTTCTTTGAATGCTTCCTTGAAAACATGATAAAAAGACGATGACGTACAAAAGCCGAATGCTGAAGATTTGTAACCTCAAGCGTCGTTACCCACAGAGCCCGCAGAGAAAATAGAAAACCAAAAACCAAAGAAGCTTCCAAATAATTTGACAAGCAGTATCCGGCAACGCGCACTGCAGACCAAACACGTCAATAAACAATGGTGACAGAGATCATTTTTAATATTTCCCGCCGAGAGCTTGAATAATCAATCTTTGGTTGTTTCCACCCCCCACAGAACATGTTTCTTAGCAACCGGTCCTTCCCCCCAAAACACTCGTACGTAATGGAGAAGCTTTTCTTTTTGGACAGCCGAAATTTTATTTTGGTTTACTTTGCAAATGAGTGCACCGATTAAAAAAAAAAAAAAAAAAAAAAAAAGAGAGAGAGAAAGCCAGATGAGTCTTGCACTTTCTCAAGACACGTTCTAGCCAAAAATGCACGAGTCTTCTTGAAAGTTTGTAAAAGGAAACATTTGCATGGATTAAATTGCTAGTTTACGGTACAAGACATAAAGTTTAATTTCTCTTAAAGTGAAATGAGGATTTAGGGGTCGGTTAAAAATATCTTCCAATATAGTGTGGTCATTTGTCTTTTTCAAAAGTTATCTTTTTTTTTTTTTTTTTTTTTTTTTTTTTTGTAGCTTTTGAAGCTAAGTCGATATTTAAAACCTGTAAAATGTTTTAAATTCTCTATGGAAATGTCTGCCAAGTAAGTAACTAATCATCATGTTTAGACTCAGCGTTACTTTTTTTAACCCTAATCAAATACTCATATTTTTCCAATCATTATTGCTAGATAAGGATTGAAAAGATACGAATATTTGGAGTACTCTAGATGAATATTCAATCTGCGCTTCCTTCTGTAGATGGAGAGGCCCATCAGTGGCAGAATGGATAAGTTGATCTAGTCGATTACGACAAAGCACACCCAAGCTTTCTGCCTAAAAAGATGGAGGCATTCATTGAGGATTTTGTAGGGAAAACTGATTCATATTCAGTTCATGTTTCATATTCCAATTCATTCATGCGAAAAACCACGAAAACATTTATAGAGCCAACTAATTTTTCGGGATTTGACCTTGAGTATAACTACTTGTGTTCAGCTATCTTATCCACTTGGCCACTGATAAAATGGTGAGTGGGTAGTAGAGTGGGTAGGAACTGTTAGTTCAATTCGAAAGGTAGCGTCTTCTTCCTTACTGCGTATTTCGTGGTGTAATTGGAAGTACGATCAGATGGTCTGGGATTCAAATCCAGGTAAGGGTACAGATTGTTTCCGTATATTTTCCGTTCTAAAAATTCTAGGTGTTTGTACAAATGGAACATTAACTAAAATGTGATAGATGATAACTCGTAATCACTTGGATTTGACGACTGGATCTCCTCCTCATCAGTCGCCCTTTAAATGGAAGAGAATATAAGGAATTTTCTCCTTCCTTACTGCATTCTTTGATGGTGTGATTGGACGCAGTCTGGCTAGCAATGGCGGTTTCGAATCCCGGCGAGAGCATAGCTGATCTTTCATGTTTCCTAATCCTAACTAAACCGAATGATTCTATTGATTCTGGTTCGACTTTCAGCCGACGGGCTGGCTGCATGTTTATTCCTGTAGTGTGTAACATAAATCCCAATTAGTAACGTAAATACAAGCCAGTTCTTATTAGAAGGCCTTCCACGAAAGCATCCCCTATTTAGACAAATGGCCTCATGTACTTACTCAATTATGAACCTTATGTGTAGTTACCAAATTATGCGAATTCAAATAAATAACTTCCAACATTTATATCGATGACAGCTATAGCTTTTATTTCAATATAAAATTATTTTATCAATATAGTTTAATTTATGGGCTTCTCACAATGAAGGGAAAAGGGAGAAAGAAGGAGAACTACCTATTACTGAGTAATGCAGACTGTTGATTGACAGATATTGAATTAAAATAATACGAAGAAGAGTAGATTAAAAAAAAATCCACTGGATTAAGAATGTTTTGTGTTCAGAAAACGCGTTAAAAGTTCTAAGTCAACTTTCTCAACTGTTCGTACTACGTTTCGTACGAACAGCTGAGAAACGAAAGCCTGAATGGGACTCACGGACAAGGGATATTTTGGATTCGGGCTGAAGTGAGTATAAAATCGTCAGGCTGAGTATGAGAAAAAGGCCAATCAGGAGATCAGCATGATAGACACGGACATAAAATCGGCAGCGGCATAGAACTGAAATCAGCTTTTCATCAGCTTTGCCGATCGTGTGCCGATCGCCCTGCGAGGGTGAGCGCCAGAAATATCGTGGTATCGCGAAGAAAAATGTAAGAGGAACA